TAGCCCCCCCAGTTTCTGAACAATACTAGTAGGCCTACCACAGTCAAATATTACAGTACTGGGCATCATTTTTTGCGGTGCATCTTTACAAAATATTTTAAGAATATGTAACATAGAATTATGAGATAAAATAATATCAGTAAATGTAGAGAATCTAATAAATAAAAATAAACAGATTGATTTGTTTTCTACAGCTTAACTCTTTCAAGGTTATTTAAAGCCAGAAAATATTTTTAGATTCTAAAAATTTTTTTTTATTTTTGGAGATAACAATGATTTAAGGATACAAGTTTTATTAATTAACCTATAGCTGGGGGCTGAAGAGGTGGATTCATACCTTTCCCAAGAGTATTTGTGTGTAAGTGAATATAATGAAACCAACTGGAATTGGCACTTGACTCTGATTAACAATTCCAAGCCATCATTTATTATACCACTCACACATCCAATCTTACAGTTTCTGGTAATTCCAAGTGGCCACCCATCTAGGTAGTCACCAGACTTGATGTTGCTTAACTCCAGTGATTATATGGGAACTGATAAAAAGTTTTAGAGGAAATATGAGTGTACACTAAAAAAAAGAAAAGAAAAAAAAGAGATGAAACAAGATGAGATTTTCAAGAACCTGATTTATACAATTATATATTATTTACAAAGAATACATACACACACACACATATATATATATATATATATATATATATATATATATATATATATATATATATCCCATAGGTCATCCCATAAGTTCTGTCCAAATTTTGAATAAAGAAAACAAGTGACCAAATGTTACATTTAATTAGATTCAATCAACAATGTATTTTCCCTGATTATCTATGATTTCCTTCCATCTATTAACAAGCTTACTAATTCCATTACTGTAAAATTCTTTTGGCTTTGATTCGAAGAGCTCACAAATGTCAGTTTTAACCTCTCTCTTCCTATGTTACAAAAGCTGTTTCTTCCAAATGATTCTGTAAGCTACAAACAAATGGTAGTCTGAAGGAGCAAGATCGGGAGAATAAGGTGGATGAGGAATTTTCTCCCAACCAAGTTCTTCAATCTTTTGTGACGTGATTCTTGCTGTGTGGGGTCGCACATTGTCCTGATGAAACATCACCTCCTTTCGATTCACTAGAGCAAGTCTTTTTTTCCCCACAAAGCTTGGTTCAAACGCTCTAATTGCTGACAGTATATTTGAGCATTAATTGTTGCATTAGGTGGTAAGAATTCAAAGTGGATTATTCCTTGGCGATCCCACCAGATTGAAAGAAGAACCTTTTGCCCATGAAGTTCCCTTCTCAGCTGTGGCTGGGGTCCTTCCCCTTTACCAAGCCACTGTTTACGATGCTTAACATTTCGATGAAAGATCCATTTTTCATCACCAGTCACAAGTCTATCCAAAAAAGGTGAAACAAGTTGGTGAGAATGGAGAGAAGAGCAGATGTCAACTTGGGATTTGAGGTTGTTTTCAGACAATTCATGAGGCACCCATTTTCCAAGTTTAGGAACTTTTCCAAGTTGTTGAAGATGACGATGAACAGTTGTATGGTTTGAACTGAGAACCACTGCCAATTCCTCAACTGATAAAGCAGGATTTTCTTCAATGGCTGCTTCAAGAAGCTTTTCATCAAACTCAACTGGATGTCCGATTCGATCTTCCTTGTTGGTAACCATTACAACACTCTCCTTTGTATGTCAATTTTGACAGATTTATTATAAATGTACAGAAAATGAGGTCAGGTAAAATAACAGACATAAAACGCCAATGAATATTTTGTTATTAATCATAATTGGCCAGCCAATAACTGATTAATTTTTTTAATATTAAAAATCAAATTAGAAATTGATTGTTTTTGCAAAGTGTATTTGAAGTAAATAGCTTGTGTTAAGGACATGGATACCTAATAGAGACATACCACATTTTATTGTACCTTTCAATAAATTGAACATTTGGGGCAAGCTTTTATCAAGCAAGTGGACCAGTGCCATTTTGCCAAAGACATTTACTCATTTTGTACCATATTTTGGTAATTCTTGTAATATTTCAAACATTATTAGTATGAAAATCAGGACAATTAATAATTATACACTGTACAGAAATTTGATCTGTGTGTGTGTATATATATATATATATATATATATATACTAGTAGTAGAGCCCGGCGTTGCCCGGGGATGTAACAGTAAGAGATAGATCAAGTATTGACCATCATAAAGACTGAAAAATAAAATTGACAAAGATTATTGTTTAAGGTTGACGGACACGCATGTCTTAATTAGTTTTTTTTTTTTTACGAATTGGTCAAACCCAAATTCAAACAATGTTTACAATCGTTATGAGTCTATCGATTGGTGAATAGAATTTTATTATAAACAATTGTCTTGTAATGGAATTTTTAAAGCATTCTGAATGTATAAAGAAAAAAGTGTGCAAGACAATAAGAAATACTACCTGCCAAAAAAAAAAAAAGTGGATGTTTGTTTTATCGGCTGAAAAATGTAAGAAATCCGATCCCATATATAAAGGGACACGCACGCACGCACGCACGCACGCACACACACACACAACCTGGGTTTTTTAACCTAAGTCACTCCACGGAATCGCTAAAACATAGAGCATAGTCTGATGAAAAAGACGCCAAAGTTTATGAAAACAAAATTTTATCGTCAAAATGCTTATGTTTTTATGAAGAGGATAGACTAAATTTTTTTTTAATTATTTTTTAAAATTTTTCCATCTTTTTAGAATATTCTAAATTTTGATTTAAAAAACCTTGTTTCTCTTTGTCGCAAAAATATTTTAACATTAGTTAAAAGCAACATCAACCTTTCAAAATGTCTGTGTGAGATTGTCATTGTCTAGCGCTTTGAAAATTGTATAATTTGGGCCAATCAAATTAGCCATGGTAATTGAGAAATGTAATTTTTGTGTTTATAGTCGGACAGTAATTATCAAGTACGGAAGACCAACCAGAATACAATTTAGTTGCATTATTTGAGTTCAGCATTGTTCTCCGCTGTTAAGCCCTTTACTTTTAAGTGAAAAACACGTATGGAGAAGTTAATTTGAGTTTTCAATTTCAACTGAGAAGGGTACCTACAAGTAACAGTATCATCTTATGAAATTTAACTACTGCTAAACTTTAATTTATATGATCTTATTTTTATATTAATCTCAGTTATGACATTTTTCCATAAATGAAATATCAAAATTAATAATAAAATGAATGGAAATACAAATAACACAGTAAAATGTAATAAATGTACAGAAAATTATAGTATTTTTTGTACACTTCTGATAAAATTTCATAAGAAAGGTACCTAAATTAATTAGATACCTATTTCTTATGAAATTTAATCTCACTATTAACAGTCTTATTTTTTAATTTCTTTATATTTTCCATAAAGCATCGTAAACGTAAAAATGAAAGCTAAATACAAATAAAAAATAAAATAAAATAAAAAATTAGAGCGCTGAAAGTTTCCCTTAAAAGTAACGAGGTAAATAATTTGTTCACTTAAATAATTTCACTTCCTTCCATCCGTAGAAAGAATTATCCTCCCGTAAGTCTAAACGTCATGAATGTGCCTTTCGTCAATCGTCAAGCGACATGAAAGGTTATGACCTGCTTTGTTTTATTTTCAAATTACATTTTTTCGGCGCCGAGGTTAAGTTAAGCTTGGTTCAAAATATTTTAAATAAACAGTATAATTTCTGTTTTTATTAAAATCAGTTTTGAAAAAATGATAATTGATTTTTAAAAGAATATCAAAATCAGATTTTAATCTTTTTTTCAATTTGATAAAATTTATCAAATCGAAGAAAATGATTGATTATCTGTCCTTTTTTTTTGATAAAAAAAAAAAACAATATTTTTAACGAAAATTTCAGACGTGCTAGGAACGATTAAAAAATGTAAAAAAATACCCCAAAAGTACTTTGATCTTTCCTCTTTAATAATAATATGAACATTAGACGATAAAATTTTGTTTTCAAGTTCGGCTTTTTTTTCATCATGCTATGCTCTTTTGTTTACATTTTCGTGGGTGAGTTGTCCCCCTTTCATTCTCACGATGTGTCTTAATCGTGTTTTCAAATTGATTTTATTAAAAAACAATTTTGTTTTTCCCATTTTCAGTATGAATTAGAACCATCACAAGGTAATTTTATGTAGTCCTGTGAAGTTTTGTTGAAATCGGCTAAAAAATGTAGGAAATTCGATCCAATATATAAACGTTACAGACACACACACACACACACACACACACACACACACACACACACACAATCTGCGTTTTATAATAAGTAAGATATATACATACAGGTTTATTGATATGTCTGTAGCCTAATGATGAAAAAGTATTTGTTTTAAACAAAAAATATACCAATGTGCTTAATTCAGTATGAATCAAAAATATACAGTAAAATCTTTAACTTGGCTTTTAACTGAATGTCAGGCTACAGACTTATTGATCCAACCTCATATATATCTCCTTACTAAAAATAAAATAGTTCACTATTCAAATTTGTACCCTGAGTTTCATGGAATTTCCATCCAATCCTCAGCAGATTTTTTGCATAACTGAATTTATTTACAGGTCATATGATATGAAAGCATTTGGTTATTCATGTATTTGATGGCATATAAGACTTACCATTTTCCCTCCAAACAAAATGGCTCAATAATATCACCTGGGTTGTACATCTAAAGTTGTGGTTTCTGGCAGGCTAATGTTTGCTCAGATGCCCTAGACTATCAGTACGCTGATACCCAGGTTAATTCCATAATACTGTCATAATAAATGTAACTGGAAGGTGTGAGCCTTACATTGTAAATATGTCTTGAATTTATGGTTGGATGAATGGGATGCATGTCTTGATATCTCCTTCAAGTATTCACTATATATTATAGACTTTAATTTAAAACCCCCCAATAAAAAACAATAATTCTCATCTTTTAACAGAGGAGGAATTCTTTCCTGGCACCAAGTTATCTTTCAGTTTTCTGTTACTCCAGAGCTGAGACTGGACTTGAGGGATTGCTTCTTCCGTTTCTCTTTGGCATCCAAATCAATAATATATTGCATCAGGTCTGTTAAATTGGCAAACTCTGTCCGTTCATTTTGTGCAAACTTCTTTGGTTTTACTTGTGGAAAGAGATTTTGCATCTTCTCACGGAATTCGATGAGCTAAAATAGAAAAATCAGTGCCTAAAAACAGGTGGAAAGTTATGGAACAAAAAATGGCTGAATTAGCATCAACAATATGCAACCATATCATATACAAAGTTGCCTTGGATAAAAAGAAAAGAAAAAGGCTCAAGATCTCATATTCAATGATAATACTATAAGAATGTGAAAACTCAAGAGATCATGGGATGAGTGAAATAAGACACCATTATATGTATCAAAGGCTGGTCTTTATTTAAAGCAAGTGGTGCCATGTATAAAGTGGCATTAGAAAGGAGTCTGGAGAAACAAATGATTGATTCAAACACGTACTGTTCTCACTTAGACCAAGTGAATATAGCAATTAGCAGAAATTGGAATAATTTAGTTAACAAGAAATAGTTAATAGAAAGGGTGTAATATTCTGTCAGGATAATACTAGAATGACTGCATGTTTCTTTGGTAACTAGGCAAAAACTGTTACAGTTTGATTGAAAAGTTTTCCCCTGTATTTAATAGATATTGCACTTTTAAGTTGCCATTTATTCTGGATTTTACAGAATTCTCTTAAAAATAAAATAAATTACCGAACAAGACTAGTAAAATCAATGAGAGATCAAGGAACTGCTAAGAAAGGAAAAAAAAGTTCTGGGAGGAGAAAATTATGAAGTTGCATAAGAGATGGTAGATAGTAGAACAAAATGGTAAATATTTTGTATAATGTTGTTAATGGTGAAAAGAAGATAAGATTTCCCTTTTATCTTAACTGAATGAATAGTTTTATGTTACCCAATATGTGTGTGTGTATGCGTTTGCTTTGATTGACTGATTGTTTTCTTCGGTTTATCAAACTTTTGCGGGTTATTTAAAGCCAGATAATATTTTTAGATTGGAAGTATTTTTGAGGGGAGATAACAATGGTTTAGTGATACAAGTCTTAATAATTAACCCATATCTGGAGGGAGAAGAGGTTGATTTATATCTTGCCAAGAGTATTTGTGTGTAAGTGAATATAATGAACTCAACTGGAATTGGAACTTGGCTCTCTGATTATCAATTTTGAGCTATTATCTATTACCACAACTGCACATCCAAGCTTACAGCACCTGGTATTCACAAGTGGTTACCCATCTAGGTATTGGCCAGGCTTGATGTGGCCATAAGCAGTGTGTGTGTGTTTGTATGTGCAACATTATTTGTAACTTGCCAGCCAGTAGAGGAAGAAAGGGTGTAGAAAAAGATTTTAAGATGAATAATAAGGACACAAAGTAGAATGAAATTTAAAGTACCAATTTGAAGTTTTCTCTATTTACTCTTTTTGTTTTCTTCAGAAAAGATTAAGACTGTTAACTTGCTTGTTTTTCTGTAAAACTATTGATTCTTTCCCAACAAAATACAAGGTATGGCGCAAACTTGGAGGCATGTCAGAGAAAACCGAAATTATTAACTTGACATGTAAACTTAATGTAGACTTTTGAACCAATAACTTCTAGAGTAATTTGATTCTTTGCATCCAGGGACTACATTGGGCATCAGGGCTGGAATAAGAACTGCTTCAATAAAATGACAAACACTGTTGATAACTCTAACAGGTGAATAAAATGCCTATTATTTACTGAAAGATTAAGCTCTCTCCCCTTGCTGGATAGTGTTTTTAAAGAAATCTATCAGTAATCACCATAAAATAGTAGAAGCAAGATTGCTGGTCAGGAATGTGTATGTGTGTTTGTTCTGTGTCTCAGAAATGTGGGTGTATTCTTGTGAGGTTGCAACCAGAGCAAATCTCTGATGATTCTTCCTGTTGGGTCGAATTATGCATATATCACTGGGGTAATGTGTTGTTATATTGCCATATTGTTTGCATTTATTAATCTCCTTTGTATATGACCAATGATGTGTGCTGACTTTGGTTTGCTGGTCAGGGACTTAGAATGCAAATACAGCTTTTCATTGGAAACCAAAGGATGGATAAAGAAGGAGACGACAATCAAACACAACATGGAGATGGATGTGTATGGAAAACCCTGGGTTTAACTCAAAAATGTTAGAAATATTGGCAGAAAACTGAACAAAATAGAGGTGGTTCATTGTCCTATGTGCCATATAGCATTGAAAGAACTAAGCTGTATCTTCTTTTATTACATTGTTTTTTGCATGAATTATAGTCCTGTATATGTACTTGGTATATTGCCTTGTGTATGCATTTATTGTAGTCTTTTGAACACATCTATTGATTCCTTTTCCATTTTATCTTTTATTTCTGTTGACTATATGCTAGTCTTCAGTGAGTCTAATGATGTAAAAGCATTTATTTTGGCAGTCAAAATTTTACCCCTCACAAATATAAAAAATACTACTTTTAACACCAACATTACCTTTCCATTTAGAAATTGCCAGACATGACAGAAGTTTTCACAATGTATGTAGTTTTGCACCATAAATAATAAATACTGAGCACTTCAAACACCATGGATCAGTTATAACAAATTTAGTATGTGAGATAAGGAAATTGAACATAGAATAGGCTGGGCTAAGGGTAGTTTTGAACAACGCTACAAGCTGTTACAATTCCAAAACATTAACCAAAAAACTCAAGTCATATTCTTAACTGATCTCGTCAGATCTTGACTTTCATATCATGCATGGCACCAAACTGATTCAAGAATATCTAAATTGTCAGCTGCATACAACTGCCTTCTAAGATCAATGGTGAAAAATGACTGAGCAAATGAATCTTGTAGGTCTCAGAGAGGACCAGCCATCTTTGAACCTTGTGAACTGGTGCTACAGAATCACAAAGAACTGTACCAGATAATAGAAAGCACATCATTTCAACAGCAGCAACAACTAAAATTGATAGCACATGTAATTCAAAGAGAAAATGATGACATAATCAAGTTGTTGATGTTCTACACTGCTTCAAACAAAAAATTAGGAAAGGAAACCACCATCAATATTGGGAAGAATGATAACAGTTAAAGGACATGAAAAAAATATTTTCCTGAAAAATTATTTTAATAAAATGATTTTATAAATTTCAACTGACAGTGACTGCTTGGTCAATGAATGATGAATATTTCCTTATGAGGAAATGGCTAATATTAACATTACCATAAACAATTTAGTGTTGTCACATAATTTTGCATTGAAAAGTTTGACTATATGATATAGATTTATTAAAATATAAAAGTGAAGGTGAAAAGAAGTGATCTAAGGAAAAGTGTTTATATATTTCTAAAGAATTAATGAATTTATTTTTAATCTGACATTTTTATTATTTCAAACATTATTTTGATTGGATACTCTCATGTTTGAAATAGATAACTGTTATTTTTTTATTTTAAACAGTGTGTATTGCCTTATGTATATTTTCAATATGAAACTGAGTAGATATGGGCTTTTGAGAATAACTGATGAGGATGTATGCATTCCTTAAAAGGGGTAAATATAACCTTGCTGGTCTTTGATGATCTTTGTGGCTGAGTGGCCTAAAGTACACTAGATTAAATGCTGGATCCTCCTACAAATGGAAAAAGCAGGTTCAAAGTGAGCATATTTTTTAAGTTTTCTCGAATACACACAGTTTAAAATAAAAATTTAAAACATAGATATCCACTAAAAATAACCTATATATATATATATATATATATATATATATATATATTATTGTATATAGTGCTAACATATTCAGTTGTATGGATATGAGTTTGTGACTGAGGCTTTCCACGTTTTTTACACTTTTGTTTCCACCATCATTAAGGCTAAATTTATCGTTAACACATCAATAACTATTATTAACATATTAATAATAATTAATATCCTATCAGCATAATCACAATTGTCAACAACACACAAGCAGTTAGCATTGAAAATACAATCATCATCATCATCACCATGCCTACAAACAGAATCCAGCTTAACCAAAGAGCCAGACCAATAGGAGAGTATGTGCGCATCTACATGTATGTATTCCTTGTTGAAAGGAACGTTGCTACGTGTATAAAAGCTACGGTCTCGACACCAAAATAGAATTACAACTGCGTATGTATGTATGTCCAAATGCACAGATATGTATCTGCGCTTAGCCTTGGATTGTTTATATGGATGTGTTTGTGCGAATTAAAATGCATACACCTGTATGTATGTATTTTTATGCGTATGAGAGTGTCACCCCAAACAAACACAGAAGAAGATTCCCCCTTCCACCACCAAACATCATAAATAGATCCAATTTTAAAAAATAAATCCATACAACGGAATATATATATATATATATATATATATATATATATATATATATATATAGAATGGATTTTTGGATCACTTTAAATGTTATTTTTGTGAATACTCGTATTTGAGTAGGTACTCCATTTATTTATTAAAACATATCGCTTAATAAATAAACGAGGCACCTAATCAAATACGTGTATCCACTAAAAATAACATTTAAAGTGATACAAATCTGTATAACTCTTGTAATCACTTAAAAATTACTTACATTATGAACACCAAGCATTTTCCAAATGCCAAAACAGAAAAGTGAAAACCCAGAAACGGAATATAATGTTCCCCAGGCAAGTGCTCGAGCAGCAAAAGAATGGCCTGTTTCAGGAATTTCTCGACTTGGAACCAGAGTCTTAAAAAAGAGAAAAATATTTAAGTTACTTGAATGTGTGTTATATAAAAATATAAAAGACAATTTCTGTATCACAAGATGACTTTTAAAACAAAGTAATATTTCACAGCAAACATTAAATTCCATTGATGACCATGGAAATAGAAAAAATCAAGACAAATTTTGGTAAATTAGAATTTATATAATTTCATTAGACAAATTTTGGTCAATTTCAATTTTGCCTAATTTTCCTAAAAAAGTCAATTTTCCATAAAAATATTTCAAAATTAAAGAAAATATTTGAAAAAAAAAAAAGAAAAAAAAAAAGCATTTATTCCACTGTTGTTTTATTGGAGGTGTAAATACCTTTATGCTTCTTGAATAATTGAGGGTCCTAGTCACCAGTACTGTTAAATCTTGTGAATTCTTAGTAACTGTTGTAACATACTTTTGGTAAATGATTCTTCTGGGAACTATCTAAGAATCATCTACACACTCTCAATGTCTCTGTAGGTTTCTTTAGCTACTAGCTACTGGAACAGCTGAGTGAGGGAGTGATACCCAACAAAAGCATTTTTTATTTTTGGAGAAGATCACAGATTTGGACAAATCTTATTAAAAAAATTAAATATAAATTTCTAAAAAAGGTACATTTAGTGATAGAGGAATAAATTGGACTGTTTTTTTTTTTTTTATAGGATTTATCCTGAGCCATTTAAATCAATAATGTCTGGTAGGGTTACATATTTAATACTAAAAAATGATGCTTTGTGGACATCCTAGAAGTACTGGCTAAGATGATTAATGTTTGTAGCCTGTCATATAGTTAAGCTGAATTTAGATCTGAAATTTTCCCTATATAATGTTCATTCTCTGTGAGTAATTGTTGTGTAGAATAAATCAATTTACAGTTGAGTTGGCTAGGTGTAACTGTAAGTTACATGCTAACAGTTTCTTCTCCCTCACTTCTTGCTTGTGGAACTCTCTTCTGGCTCCACGTTTTCCAGACAATTTTAATCTGCAAAAATTTAAATGCAATGTCAATCGCTATCTACTGTCCTTCTGATTATTCTTTCCTCCTCCTGCTCATTATTAAAGTTTCTGATCCTAATTCTTCCACACCCTTTAACCCATTGTGTCTTAGTGGCTTTACTGTCTTGCATGGAGTGATACTGATAAAAAAAAAAAACATTTTTCTGTTAACAAACTGCAAATTTCTTGTCATATCCTCCACAACCAGCACACTTTATTCCTTAACATGCATGTATGTTATGTCTTTTAAAAAATATTTATGACTAAGTTTAAATGCTAATATATAACACCATTGTCCCAATTAACTTATAACAGATTAACTTGTAACACTGTAGGAATGTAAATAGGAAAAGGCTTTCTATGCAAGATTGTAGTATTTGGTTGGCTAATGTTTCACCAGATGCCATAGACTACCAGTACATGTATCTAATCTAATTCCATAATACTATAATATAGGTACCTCCAATAATTTGCTGAAAAAAGAGCATACAATGATGAAAAAAGGCCTCAATCTTAATAAAACAGTTTTATTGTCAAAATGTTTATGTTATTATTAAGAGGATGACCAAATTATTTTTAATTTTTTATTTTTTTACTCTTTTTTTAACATGTTCAAAATTTGTGTTAAAAATCTTGTTTTTTTTATGTTGACGGTGTAACCGAGCTGGTTATGGACATTTTCATGCCACCATTTCCGTGACATATTAATTTTGAAACTCTTGCAAAAATCAAATAATTGTCAAATTTTAATGAAACTTTCAGGACTTATTCACAAATGAATGAATTTATTTTTGAAATTATTATTTTTAGAAAATCTTGCTAAAAATCCTTTTTTTTTTTTTTTTTTTTTTTTTACATCTGTTCACCCTCCCCCACTTAATTTCATAAAATTTTCTAAATTTAAAATCGTCAGCGAAATGTTTTTTTGTTAGTTAAAAGCAGGACAACTTTGAGAATGTTGATCAACTTTTCAAAAAATCTGCTCCAAATTGTAAAATAAAAAAATAAAACTATATAATTATTTAATTAGATAGGGTTTTAATTGATTCTATAAATTATATATATTAAGGATATTATAGTCTGAAGAAAAAAATTTTTTCGATGAATAATGAATTTTTACAAGAATTGTTTGCATTTTTCTTTTTTAATTATAAAGTTTCAAAAATGTTTTAAAATTCTTCCAAAGATCAATAAAGTGAGGTTATGAAGTTATTAAGTGAAGACTATATTTACTAAGCGAAAATTGAAATGTTTAATACAAATGATTTTACCAAAATTTTTTACAATAATTAAAAATAATTTTTTTGTATCTAAATATTCTTTATTTTTTAAATATAGTGTTTCACATGCAGCATCATTGTTAGGCCACGATTTTTAAGGGTTGTCTCCCCTTACGCTCATAACCCTTTTAGTTTTATTTAGTTAAGAAAAATGTTTATATTTAGTTTTTTAATTTTTTTAAGTTTCTTTATTCTTTTTTGTGAGTTATATTTTGATAAAAAACGTTTGAAAGGTAACCCTTTATTTCATTTTAAACTTAATGTTTAGTTTAATTATTCATTTTGTAAAATACAATATATTTTTCTGAAATGTTGAGGAAAATTAGCAAATTTAAAGTTAAATTAATGATTGAAAAAATTGAAATGTGTACATCACTGACACACACAAAAAAATTAACCAAAATTTTGAACGTGGTAGAAAGGATTAAAAAAATTAGAAGTAACTCAATAATTTATGAAGTGTTATTAATTTAAGAAATTTTTATAGTATTTTAAATTTTATTAACTAAATAATTGTTTAAAGTATTTTGTTGATTTTTAAAAATCATTTGGTGGTTAAAAAACAAAAACAAACAGTTTTTACTTAGAATTCGTAAATTTAAGTCAATACCTTCAGCCATCAATTTATCAATGGAGACATGAGACCCTGTGATCAAGAAAAGTTTGTATAGAAAATTTTATGCTATAAGTAATATTTGTTTCAGAACAGATTAATTTAAATTTGCTAATTTTATGCAAATAACATTTCAGAAACATATATTTTATTTTTGCAAGATGTTTAAAACTGAGAATTAAATTTTATTTACAATCTGTCAAAAAAAAAATTAAAAATGGCCGTTTTGATTGGTTTTTCTGAATAAAAAAAATGAATTGACTAAAAATCATTCTAATTTCTATTTGAAATACACCACAGTATTTTGCTTTCATTTATGAAAATACATTTAAACCTTAGGTGTACAGAATTTTTGGAGGTACCTACTATAATATTAAATGTAAATAGGTGAGGTTTATATACAAAGTTGAGGTATAGTGTTTATCCAGATCTTGTAGACTACCAGTACTTGCATCTAGGCCAGTGTTTCTCATGCATTGTTTTCTGGAACATGAGTTCTGCAACAGGCTGCTAAGGGTTCTGTGAGAAACAGTGATAAATAGACTAATGCATCTTTGAGTAATTTTTGTTTAATTTTATATTCATAGTTTCACTATATATTGTAGGAGAAAAAAAAAGAAAAAAGAAAAGTGCAGTGTGTCGCTCGCTGGCAGGCCAGCTATTTCTTTTTCTTCTTCGGTTGCCTCAAGGAAATGGATTGCGTGACTACCTTTCTCAGCCGTTACACTGGGCAGTTGTGAAACACACCAACTCAGTCGCGCCTACTTCGACTTCCTCTTTGTTCGTCTGTCAATCCGTATATCCAACTCTATTACACGCAGTCTGCCAAATGACTGCCTAACACTTGGTGCTGCTGGCACCCTGCTTTTTATGCTATTCCAAGATGGCCAAAATTTGCATGTGTGCAAATATCGTCTTGTTTTGGATGAGATACGCACGCATAAATTGCGTCTTCAATAGTGGCCATATTTCTTTTTGTCATTACTTTGCAAGCAAGACACATTCGTGCTTGTTTCGAATTCTGAGGTAAGTCATGTTTTTCGTCACATATATGTACAGTATATTTTTGAAAAATCCTTGGTTATTATAATAAAGGCTTCAACTGCTTATATTATTTAAAACTATAATAATCAGAGGGAATGTATCTTTATCACTTGAACTACAATAAAAATATAAAAGAGATATTAATAATGGTATATAATAATTTTTATGTAGAGGTTCCCTGAGCCATGAAAACTATTTCAATGGTTCCACAAGGGTAAAAAGGTTGAGAAATGCTGACCAAGACTATAATAATATAATATTAAATGTAATTAGGGTATAGCAGGTCCACTGCAAGAGTCTCATGCACCCCCATACAACAATCTATGATATGCACTCCCCACAACAATCTATATGTAGCCCCCCACTCTACTACATTTCAATTTTCATAAGATAGTATTCATATAAAATACAAATTTTATTGTAACCTGATTAAGTAGAATAATGGATCATATGCAATATAAATGAACAATTCAACAAGATAAATTAAAAATAAATCCAATGTATCTAAATACAAATTAGAGACCTGTCATAATGGATCATTCTATCTTAAATAAAAAATATTTTGTGGCAATTTTTAACATCATATTAAGATTTTTCTTGTTAAAAAGTTGAATAATTTTAATAAATTCAACATTATGGATAAAAAATAGTGGATTGGGTTTTTTCAAGACTTAACATAAGCAAAACAAATTCATGGATTTGGGAAAAAACCAAAAAAAAAACCAATCCAGACTGACACCAAAAATTTTCATCCTTTAATAGTCAGTTTTATTTACTTTAATGTAAGTAGAAAAAAAAACAAATGTCGATAAGATAGTGAAGGTCACAAAGCATTGCCCACAGCTCCCAATCAGGCTCTCCCCTGGTAGTCAGAGTATAATATGTAAAAGTTAAGATATCTAATAGACTAATCTTTACCCAGATTCTGTAGACTAGCATTCATTGTATCTAACCTAACTTCATAAGTCTTTAATGTTAAATGAAAAGAGAGGCTCTTCTCCCTTACCACATATAGTAGTTAATAATCAATGCTTAGTAGATGTAAAAACCATGATTTGTCTGTCTGTAAAATATAGTCATTGTAATGTGATGAATGTATAAATGAACCTTCCAATCAATAATGGCATTTAGAAGCTCACCTTTGCAAACATTGCAGGGTCTTTCTTCTTTGCCATGGCGAGGGTTGCTCCAAATCCGAAAAGAAGAGAAAACCCAGCAAGGGAGGTAATAAAGACTGCCCCTGTAAAAGTATCAAAGAGATTTGGTTGTGTTACAAAAAAATAAATCACACAATGTCATCAACTCTAATGAATAAAAAGAATTTCCTCTGTGGGTTTGTGTAAGAGAGAATCTTTAATGATAAAAACTATGAGTTTATTTTTTATGAAATTTTAAATAAGAGCTAAATAAGGCTATCATTATAAAAATAGTCTGTACAAGATATATAACAGCAATACTTTAGTTTTATATAAGAAAAGGTTTTCTTCTGAGCTTCATAAAGGACTGTCATTATACATGTCTAAACAAGAGATATTTTTCTCATTTTTTTAATGAGATTTTTTGGACGAGTTGTTAAAACTGATATTATTTTGGGATTTTCCTCATCTCTGTTGTGAATATTGTTCATTCTCCAGGTTAACATTTTTCTAGTGCATCCTGGTGTTAGTATAAATAAATTCAACCACACTCACACAATATTTCTTTTCTATAGAACCTGTAAATTACAAGTAAAATAAATGTACATTTTCAGCCTATAGATTCTTTTAGATAATGATTTATGCAAATAGACAGAGACTGTATCAATTTAAACAAGTTTTCAATTTCTGTGGTGTTCTGAGCCACAAAATTCACATAACTTAGAATAGGCAAGGACAACCTTTTCCGACCAGTGAGCTAAAGTCTTGGTCTAATATCATCACTGATGATAGTGTGATTAACACATCACTGCATTTCATTTATTTCTAATTTATTCATTTGAAAATAAAAGAAAAGTATATTTCTCATAATTTATATTAAAATTATTAGGAAAGTAGAGCAAAGTATATTTACATGTGTGATCTTCCTTAGTGAAAATTGCCAATGGTTTGAATGGATGAAAACGTTATTTTCTCCAAAAGTTTACAAAATACAAGAAACACTGTACCTAATCATTGTTTAAGTATATAGTTATGTATGAGTGTGTGAGTGAACAAGTGAAAACAAAACAAAATTTTAGGCAGCATTATTTTCCTTATGAAATTAAGTGTGCCATTCAGAAAGACCATGAGTGACTTAAAGTAGAAAGTATCTTCTGTAAAATTGCAATTGTATAGGCTTTATAACAAGCTCATAGGAGAACAATTACATATTCAAAAGAAAACATTTTTAATGCTATTGGTAAAAAGTTTAGGGATTTGCAAATACATAAGAAATTAAAATTATACAATTTTTTTTTATTGTGCTCACATCATTTCTACAAAGAATAATTTTAGATATTTAATAAAAAAAAATAACCAACCAAATCGCTAACTGTAATCTAATGTTAATTACAATTCCTAACGTTGTAAATCATATAATGAACAGACTTTTTCTACACCAGTATCTTCTTTAAATAACATGTCTCTTTAGGGTATAGGTGTTCATATCTTCATAGCTTCCTTTTCTTTCATATCTACAAACTGCACTTTGCCATGACTGTTTTGGGGAGAGATAGTAAAGTGGTTCACCAATGCCTTTTCCATGGTTTTGAATTCAGAGTTACTTTTCTCCTACACTAGTTGCCACCCAAAGTTAGAGAACCCAATCTGCCTTGCTATTTTGCCTGTGACTGGTGTGGGAAGAAAGATATGAATTCATTATTTTTCCAAGAGTGTTAGTACAAAGCAAATATAAACTGTCTTAGCTGGAATTTGAACTTGGCTCATTGATTTCATTTTTGCATTGTTTACCATTAGGCCACCTGCATGTCCTGATGGCCAATGTAGTTACATACTTACCATCTTTGCCAGATCTTAGAGTCTATGCTGATTTTCAAGACAGGCAAACCCTTTAGCTAGTGCATCCAAATTTCTTATTCTGTATTTTTATTATTTAATTTGGGATTATGGCATACCGAACTCAGCTTACTTTTTAATTATCTTGAACTATATCTCATTTCAGGTGTTATGTTATTATAGACACAACATTTTGACCAAGTATCCTCTAGCCCTCATCAGGTGTCCATTGTTTTTGGCTGATATAGGATATCTGTTGATTACTGGGTTATTATTTTCTCTCTGTGATGCCAGTTATTGTCTGTTCCTGCTGAACCAGTGTTTCATTACCTGATACAGGGATGGAACTCTAGATGACAGTAACACATGTATAACCAACTCCTATATCCACTATGCCACCATCAGTGGTGTATTTTTAGAGACTTTTATAATATCAGATAGTTTCAAAAAGATAATTTTTAAAATGATTCAAATTTTCTGAGGCCCAATATAAACATTAAACACTACAAAAATGAATTTCTCGAAATTTCATAAAATTAAATAACTGGGGATTAACAAATGTAAAAAAATAAAAAATATATTTTTACAAAGATTTTCTAAAAAAGAAACATCAAAAATAATTTCATTTATTTGTGAATAAGTCTTGAAAGTTTCACTAAAATATGATAATTATTTGAATTTGCAAGAATTTCCAAATCAGTGTGTTTTACACTGCAAAAAGATGCTAAAATTTCCCATGTCAATTTATGGTCACCCACTGATGCAAGAAAACCAAAATTTTGAAGGTTCTAAAAAGGTTAAAAAAAAATATAATAATAAAAAATCCTTTAGTCATTCCTCTTAATAATAATAACAATTTTGATGATAAAACAATGTTTTTATTAGTATGTTTTCATCCGCATACACATTTTTAGAATCTTTTTATTTTTATACTACACTAGCATAAATACCTGTCATTGACTGGGTTTAGAAGAAGCTACTAAAATTGTACTGTGTTTTTGAAAGATATTGATTAGAGAGTATTGAACATATAATCTATATTAATAAAGATGAATGTCTGTGTGTCTGTACATCTATAGGAAGAAAAACTACTTTAATCTTCATTAAATTTGGAACATAGATAAGAGACATAAAAGGGAGTGTAATGTTTGATTTATTTTTGAGGAACAAAGTGGGCAGCCCCCTCCCCGAAAATAAATGTATCAATGGACCCAAAAACTACTGGACAGATTTTTATGAAATTTGGAGCATAGATTTCTGGCATGAGAGTGGATGAAATATGCTATGTATAAGTCTATATTTATATATTATTTTGTTCAAAGAAGTTCCCTATTGAATTACAAAAACCCTCAACAAATGTTTTTCCCCTTTGAATTAAATGAAATTTAAACTTAGGTAAATGACCTGAAATGATGCCTATTTAAAAAAAAAACTCAGCCAATTTCAATAATATCAACACACCCTAATGGGAGCTAAACTCCCCTATATTGAAAATTTTGGAAGCTATAACTTGAGTATTTGACCCTCTATTATCACAGGTTTTTTCTATAGGGCTATATGTTTTAGTCACCTTGATATATTTTGAAGCCAACTTCCAAAGTACTTATATAGAGTACAAAGGGGTAGAGTGGAAAAAATGTAAAAATCTAAACAAAACAACCATTGGATAGATTCTTATGAAATTTGAAAGAAATTCTATGTATGACACCTAATGACAGACTATATATATATATATATATATTTTTAAAACCGGTTTGGTTAGACATATGTTGATTAGTTTTTGCTGTGATCCTTTCAAGTTTGTGGATTAAATTTTTGGTAAATTTAGAAAATTGAGTAAGAAAAATACCAACATTTTCTTTTGAATAGTTTTATGTAATCGATTTAAAAAAAAAAAAAAAGGTGCGTTACAGTGGTGCACAAATCCTCTCCTCAAAAAATTGTTTCCATGGATTTAAGTGAAATTTAAACCATACCATCTTTTTAAATTTCATTTTTGCATCGAAACATTTGATTTAGACCACAAATTTAGTTTCCTATAAGCTACACAATAGCCACTGTTTCAATCTTATATCTAATTAACATGGACCCTAGTTTAATTTCTCCATAAATTTTGTCTCTTTTGGATGAAGGAGGCATCACTTGAACCTTTACAATAAGTACAATTTTATTAATATGCAACTCTGCAATTTATTTGAATTCTTGATAGAGTTGTTTATCCTATAATGACCAAACCTAAACAGCTCTATATCTTTCAGCTATCTGTTCTACCAGCTGACTATTGCAAATAATAATTAGGCTACACTCTTACTACAATGCCTCCCCAAAAGTTCCATTTTTGACCACCTAAGCAATCCCAGCAGAGGAAAAGAGAAAGAGCAGAAGAAATTGAAGATCGGCTGAGCAAGAGAAGGAGAGAAGATGCAGAAAGGCATGCAGCTTCACTAGCGTCACAAAGTCAAGAACAGGTGGATCTAAGATGAAAATTAGACACTCATTGGATTGCAGCAGCAAGACAATCTGAAACTCAAGAAGCAGCTTGCAAAAGACATACATTAAATACTCAACGGACTGCAGAAGCTAGAAACCGAAATGAGACATCGCATGGATACTCAGCAGACTGCACCTGCTAGACATTCTGAAACTCCAGAAGTAAGGGAGAGGAGATTCAGAATAAATACTTGATGGAATGCAGCAACCAAGCAAATGGATATATTATACTCAAATAAACATTACTATTTGAGGGGTCACGTGCATTCCTCCCCCACAGGGACCTTCTTTGATCAAAATAATATATACATCCACTCTCATGCTGGAAATCTATTCTACTAAGTTTCATAGAAATGTGTAGAATTAAAAAAATGTTCTTAAACTAATGATTATATAAGGAGAGGATAAAGAATTTATTTTAAAATATAAATTCCTATTTCTTGACTATTACCCAGTTCTACATTTCTTTAATTTTTGCACACTTTTTACAAGTCCTGGATGATAATAGAAAATTACTGCTGATGACCTATGACCTTGATGACAGCTCACAGGCTCTGTGCATAAAAAAGTTATTTTCATTCTGTTTTAAGCAAAAAATAAGCATTATTTTTTACAAAATCCAATTAATTAATCCTTAAATTTACTAATTTATTTGCAGCACATCTCTAGGACAAATATTGGATTTTAAAGGTATTTTTAAATTTGTTATTTTACAATACATTCATTTTCATTGCGGTTGATGAGTGATAAGTAAATTAAACGTGAGAATGTTTTAGAATTAATTAAAAATAATAATGTCTAAAAGAAAGCTTTATTTAAATACGAATATTTTTTCCTTTTCGTATGCATTAGCTTTTTCTCTAGGTTATTGTTTTTCAAATAAAACCAAAATTTAGCTTCAAAACATTTAAAACCCTTTTTTTTTTTTTTTTTTTTTTTTTAAAGTCCGTGAATAAAAATAACTGAAAAACAAATTAGCTAAAAAAAAAAAAAAAGCTTCAAACTGGGACAGTTTTTAATTTTTATCAGTTTTTTTTTTCATAAAAAACAAACAAAAAAACCCCAAACAAATGCCGTGTTCATTCAGGACGTAAGCGTCAGTTTATCACCGGGTCAGACCCCCTAAAACCGGGACCTATGTTCCTATCTAATCAAGGTCATACATCATCAGCCCTTGTTAAAGTGGACTCTTTGTTGCTACCGTCAGTACAGTTAGTTATGGTTTGTCTAGATTTTCACTCATCCACTCTTTTCCCCGTCAGAATGCAAAAACATTTTTTGCTAGGCACAGGAAAAATGGATTCATGTCTTTTTTCAAGAGAAGACTGTGGAGTAATAAATAAATGGATAGCGACTCGCATTGAAGAATCGGCTCGAGTTCGAATTCCAGTCGAATCCATTATATTCACTTACGTGCTACCCACGTACCTATGGGTAAATAGCAGGACAGACCGGGTTCTATAGCCTTGGATAGCAACTGGCCTACCGTAGAAAGAAATGGCAACCTACTGCGGGAAAAAAAATCTGCCTCGTCAGTCATGTATCGAAAGATACATGACTGCCTAAGCATGTATCACGCATGCCACATATAACTGACTGAATTCCATTTTCCGAGTTCGTAACCATTACGCAACTTAGTTTACTTTACCTAATCAGAAACATGAAAAAGAAAATGGCTTGTGAGATGTGTGTTCTACCGGTTAAACACAGAGGTCAATAAAAACTTTTTAAAAAAATACTTTTTCGAGGTTGTTACAAAAACTGTGATAGTTCTTTTCTTAAAAAGAGTTTACTTTCTGTTTCAGAGTGACATTTTTTACTATTTTTTTTAATGTAGAATTGTTTTAAAAATACCAATTCAAAAATTGTTAAAAAAGAAAAAGGATCTCATTAAAACATAAACAATTTCAGTACCTTTCAGATTTGATAATTTACTTTTTTTAGAGGACTGATCGACTGACAAGTTATCTCCATTGTCAGAATATCCAGACATCACTGTGATGGAATTTGCTCCATTTTTAGTAGATTTATTTTTGTCAGTATCGCTCGGCATAGAATCAACCGACACCATGTTTTCGCTGATGTTAATTCGGGCTGACGAGTAAGAGTGTGCTTTGAATGGCTAGAAAAATATACAACACGAACTTTTTATCTGAATGCTATGTTAGTAATTATTAAAAAATACATTATATAATATTGAAAAATTATTGTTATGTAATGAAGATAAATAAATAAAAACCTAAAATATGAGGTTATGCTTTTGGAGGCTATTTTAGCCAATAGAATTAAGGGATTGTTGCAAATGCTCTGTACACCGTCTCTATGGTAACGGGTACATTCAAGTCGACGCAAATATTTATCGGTAAGATGTTGTTTACCTATTTTAAATTTCATTTTGATTACAGTTTTAAATTTGGTGTATGTATTGAATTATATATTATTTTATTAATCATTTCTAAGAGAGTAAGATATATATTTGAAAAGCGAATTTTATTGTCTGTTGTCAAGTTTGAATGGTTAAAAATTATTTAAAACATTCTTCATAATAACTTAAAAAATAAATAACTAAAAAAATAGTTGTAATGACATTTTTTTTTAAGTGAGAAAAAAGGATTTCGTAAATCTATCTATCTATCTATCTATCTATCTATCTATCTATCTATCTATCTATCTATCTATCTATCTATCTATATCTTACTTACTTAATTAAACGTGAACATCATTTATTTGAAATAAATTACGTTAAAATTAAAAACATACCTTTTTTTTTTACAGTACCCGAATGTTTGAAAATGTAAATTGTAAAACACAATACCTCACTGTATTTATTTTATTTACTTGCTTAAATACCACATTTGGTAACCTCTGCTCAGGTCATTTCATCATCATAGAATTTATATTATAGTTATTTGCAAAAAAAAAAAAAAGAAAAAAAAGAAAAAAGATAATTATAATTAAGGTTAATATTAATTATTATTAAATATCGTCACTGGCATGCCACTATGGCTAATGGAGAGGAGTGCAAAGAAGCCATCTCATAAATACACAATCATACAGAAAACATTCAGTCTATCTATCTATCTATCTATCTATCTATCTATCTATCTATCTATCTAAGCCAATCTGTGCATATCTGTCTGTTCCTTCCTTCACTCTTTCCTTCATTCCTATCTATCTATCTATCTATCTATCTATCTATCTATCTATCTATCTATCTATCTATCTAAGCCAATCTGTGCATATCTGTCTGTTCCTTCCTTCACTCTTTCCTTCATTCCTATCTATCTATCTATCTATCTATCTATCTATCTATCTATCTATCTATCTATCTATCTATCTATCTAAGCCAATCTGTGCATATCTGTCTGTTCCTTCCTTCACTCTTTCCTTCATTCCTATCTATCTATCTATCTATCTATCTATCTATCTATCTATCTATCTATCTATCTATCTATCTATCTATCACAATGATCAATGATCTAAAATGGCTGAGAAAGAATTTGTAAGAATATAGAAGGTGATTATCTCCCTTTTAACGAGAAGCATAGACTGATATCTTATGATCCTCTTGAGAATTTGACATCCTGTTGGTGAGAATAGTCAGTTACTGCTTAGCTCACAACAGAGGCTGTGGTAGTAGCCAGTTGCAATTCACTAAATTGACTAAAGAGGATGGCATAATTCTCATGCACCAAGCCTGTAATGTGTCCTTTTTAAGGAAATTACAAGAACTTCTTTGTATCCATTTTCATCACATAATGCTTATTCATTTATTTAATATGTTTTGATTTCTCTATGTGGGGCAATTTGTGATATATGTATAGACAGCTAGATATGTGTGTGTGTGTGTGTGTGTGTGTGTTTGTGTGTGCGTGCATGTATATTTTATTGCTATAAACATTATTTTTAGTGAGTACTTGTAATTGAGTAGACACTTCTTCTAAGTTTTGAAACATTATATTTATTTATGCCTACAAGGTTAAATATTTGAGAAATCATATTAAGAATAAATATGTGGCATCCAGCAGGTTTCAAATCTGAGTCACCCTTTTCAGGAGAAACCATCATTTGATCTGATGTGTAGTGTATTGCCGATCAAGCAAAGTCAAATAGTGTTTTATAAGTGCAAATCCTATCCAGATACTTGAATATTCAGGCCAGTAGATGAAAATAGATAAATATACAAGGGTGGAATAAAAAGTTCATAGACTGACTATGAAGGAGTGATGCTATAGCTGTGAAAACTTGCATGCATTAATTAAACATCTTCTTATTAATGACTGCATTGTTTCTTTCCAGGTAAACTGACATCTGACTGTTCAAAGAAGACTTCAGAAGTAACTAGTAGTGACAACTCTTGAAAATGGACAACATTTGACATTGTGGTGTTATCAAATACCTGCAGAAAAAGGGTTTAACCTCCATGAACATTCATGCTGACATGGTTGCTACATTAAAGGATGATGCTCCAGTTTTATCAACAGTGCAAAAGTGGGCAGCTGAATTTAGGTGGAGAAGGGGAAGTCTTTAAGATGACTCAAGGTTTGGATGTCCTACAATTGCCACCACCACTGATGGTGATGGATGACAGGTGATTGACTATAAATCAAATAACTAATGCTATTAGCATATTCTGTGAGGGAGTTGAAAATATTCTGCACAATGAATTTGGCATGATGAAGGCTTCTGCTCTGTCGGTGCCATGTCTTTTGACACCTGATTAAAAGTTCATAAGGCTCGTCACATCACACAGGAAAATCTTATATTGAGGCAGATCCAGCTGGTTTCCTTGAACATTTCCTAACCCATGGTGAGCGTTGGGTCCATTACTTTGAGTCAGAGACAATCCATGCAGTGAAAACACTCCTCCTCACCTGCTACAAAGAAGTTTTTTGGGATGTAAAAGACATTGTGTTTATTGACTATCATCAAAAGGGCCACACTATCAATGGAGAGTACTATGCCAACTTGCTGAGGCAGTTATAAAAGGCTATCAAGACAATATGCTGAATAAAACTGATGAAAGAGGTCTTATTTTATCAGGACAATGATACAGCACACAAGTCCTTGGTTTCAATGGTTGCCGTGCATGATTGTAGCTTTGAACTGGTCCATCACCCTATTCTCCTGATTAGGTTCAATCTGACTATTATCTGTTCCCCAAACAGTTGGCTAGGAACCAGTATCACAATGATGATGATGATGATCTCCTATCTGTTATTGTTAATTCTTTGTCCAACAGGATGAATAGTCTTCTTCACTAATGGTATCCAAAGATTTCAACACCTATGGAAGAAGTGTGTGAACCATAAGGGGGACCATGTTGAAAAATAATCCTCATTTGGTCACATTCCATCTTGGTCAGCATATGAACTTTTCAGTCGACTCTCATACTGTTTAAAAAAATAAACGCAGCGTCTACTCAAATATGAGTATCCACTAACTTTGTATTAAATAATGTAACCTCATCAAACACTATTCATGATTTTCAAAATGAACCCTAACCTGCCAATTTTCTTGTGTTGTAGTAAGTACAGAAGATGGCCGTCATACAAGAAAGGGCAGCACCTGCTGATGGCCCTCCTTACTCCTTCTCCAGTCAACCCCGAGTAGTTGCCCACCGGAGGAAATATCGTAATGCAGAATTTCAAAATTCAGAGTGAGTAGACAAATCAATGTTTCAACGAACTGGGGTCGGGATCATTTTCCATTATCAACAGTGGTCAGTTTTCAAACGCAGATAATAAAAAAAAAATATTGAATGTTGATTTTTAAAGTAGGCATCTCATCTCTACAGCTTGGAAGCTTCGGGTAAAACAATTTTTTATTCTAAGTTGTCTCTATTTGACTGTATTAAACAAAAAATAGTTAATATTTGTATAGATGAAATTATTGAGCTAAGTGAATGATATGTTTACAGTTCTAATTTGACATTGCAATCAAGTTGATTGCTATAATTTATAATCAAATCTATTAGAAAAAAACATTAAAAATAGAGATTGTGGGATTATTCTATTTTGTCTGCCAGGAAACTTCTCTTAATGTCTGCTAAGTGGAGTTAGTTATAAAGCAGTATAAAAGGAAAGGACACAAACTCTTTCTCTCTTTCTCTCTTCAACTACAGGATGCCATAGGGACATGTCTCATTTCCCCTTTGGAAGACTTAGCCCCCCAAAATGCTGCATATCACATGGTAAACCTTGTGCAGCATAGACACACTATACTATCTCTTGTTCAGAAAAAAATGATGTGATCACAATAACATGTTCGTTACAACTACTCACATAAATATATATTTCTTCCTTTTTTCCTGAGTTATATTACACTTATATTCTGCATGTAGATATATACATGAAAGCCATATATGTTTTGAATTCATATACTGTAGAATGCTCTTGCAATTGGTAACCTGTTTCCGTAACGAGATCAAAAAATTACCCTTTCAGATGCAGTATAACAATAATTAAAAGTTTTCAAATAAATCAATGTAAAATTTGGTTGCTTCAAGTTAATATCCCACTGATGTTAATGATCAGTGTTCAAACCCAGGTCGAATCTGGATTTTGAATGCTGATTTTAAAACAGGCATCCTCTTCTGACTTGGAAAATCAGCATAATGCAATATTTGTAACATTTGATCTTTTACTATACTAAGTAAGTTTAGCACATCTCAATAATTGAATTAATAAATTTAGTCATTAAATTTATTAAGTATTTTGATCAAGGAAGAATTTGAAAGACATGTAAAAAAATTACAGATAATAACAAAAAAAATGGTTTTATCCTCTCATGTACCAGAAAATGATGTCATAAAAGTGTTCCTTCCCCAAATGGCCTGGAAATATATTAAGGTCTTATGTTTGGGTGCTATAGTATGCTGATTACTTCTGTATTTCAGCTCTACCATATGGTTGTATGTTGTTTACCTATTTGATGGGTAATGTGTCTTCCCATTGGTTCCATGTAAAGCATTCAAACGAGATTGAAGGGACAAAAAGAAAAATAAGATCCCATAAATAATAAAATGTTTGTCAAAGAATTTTGCTGAACTGTCATTTCTGTTTGTAATGAAGTAGAGTAATCTGTGGAATAGATGTTGTCAGGTCAACAGATGTTAGCTTGATTGGGATTTGCTGTGGTGTACTGCTTTTATAGCAGTACCTCATTTACATACAATATTACACCTCTCTGAACTGAAATGGCCTTATGCTTTTTGTTGATCTTTGACTTCTTTTAATTATTTTTGTGAATCTAAACTTTCTTGGTGTGTATCTTGATTTCTTCTTATAGGAGACCTAGGTCTGAATTCATTTTCCTCTTCTGACTCCTCATCAGATTTCTGGTTATTAACATCCATAGTGGCTCAGTTTCACTACTGGATTAATTAGCTCCTCCTCCTCTTCATGTTCTTCACCTTCAGATTCTTCATCCATTTCTATATTTTTGGGTTCCATTCTGCTTCTGAATTGATCTGCATGGGCCACAGTATATTTTGTCCATTTTTCGATGAACATTGTAGTCTGCCATGCTATAGCTTGACAGTAATCTTGGTAAGTAACTATCTATATTATCATTAGATGGGGAAAATGCTTTCAGTCCCATTTTTGCAGTCTGCACCATTCTTTGTGATACCATTTGATTGTGGGTGGTAGGGTGGTGTTTTATACAGTATGCATCCAATACTCTTTAGTCACAAGCACAAACTTGCCTCACAAAATCCTGGTGTGTTTTAAGCAATCCATTCCTTGAAAATATTGTTCTTAATATTTGTTTTACAGTAGTGGCTTTTCTGTCAGCAAACTTAATTGCTTCAGGGCATCCTGAAAATGAGTCCACTAAAATTAAAAATAGCTCTGGGTCTTTAATATGGCCATGATCCATGTGTACCCAAACCCATGGTTCTTTTTCTTTAGGCCACAAGAAAATTTTTGCTTTGCTGAAAGTTTTTTATTTTATTTCAGTACATTTTGGCCATCTTTTTACATAGTCTTCTACATCTCAAGAATATCCTGGCCACCATACTTGTAATTTTAATCTTATTTGTGTTGCTGTTATGCCACAATGTACATCGTTGTGTACACCTTTTAGTACTTCTTAAACTTTGTGGGGGTATTATAACATCTCCCTTGTATATTATGCTTTTCTCTACAGTTAACTTATGCCTTGATTCTTTGTAGGGTTTTCCTGCCATTGAATAATTACTCCATATTTTTCTTTTTATTCTGTCTGAAATTCTACTTAACACTGGATTTTTTATGGTTTCCATTCTGAGAGATTTAGGGGTAACATGTCTACTTCAACCCAGTGCAGTATTTTATCAGCTGAATTTTTAGACGTTTCTAATTTTTTACTGTCTAAATTTAGTCTGGTTAGTGTATCCATGTATAGAATAGTGTTCCCCTTTATGGATGTCAAAATCAAAGGCCATGAGATTTATCACCCATCTTAAAATTCTAGAAGATGTGATTTTTGGTAATTCCTTTCTGGGGTTAAAGTTTTGTGATCTGACTTTTCGAGCTGTTTCTGTGCCCCATACTATTGCTAATGCTTTTTTCTCAATATTTGAGTAGTTAGCTTTGGCTGATGTTAATTTTCATGACAGGTACATTATTGGAGGACCTTGAGATAAAATTGTGGCTACAGCATGTTCACTTGCATCTGTGGTCAATGTCACTTCTTTTTTTGGATCAAAGTTTTTTGCAATTGGTTTTCTTATTAGTGCCTTTTTTAATCTTTCAAAAACTATATTTTGCCTTTGAGTTCACTTAAATTCTGCATTCTTTTTCTGTAATTTTGCAAATGGTTCTATTAGATTGATATTTGCTATAAAAATTGGTCAATACCCAAAAGGTTTCTTATTCTTTTTTTTATTTTTTGGTGTAGATACTTCTAATATGTTATTTATCACTTCATTGTCTGGTGAAATTCCTTCTTTAGATATTTAGCATCCAAAATATGATATTTTGTCACAATTTAACTTACATTTATCGATATTCATTGTCATACCAGCATTTTTTAATTTGTTTAAAACTTGTACAGTTTTTTTAATTTTCTCTTTATTGCAAGCACTTATGCCTATATCATCTTGATATATGATTATATTTTTTACCTCCTCCGATAGAACTTTTTCAATTGCCTTTTGAAAAATATGGCTTGAAGTCTTAACTCCAAATGGAAGACGAGTCCTTCTTAATAAGCCTATCAGAGTATTAATTATAGTGACTTCTTTAAATTTTCTGTCTATTTATATTTGGTTAATCAGATCAATCTTGGCAAAGTATTTAATCCCTGCTTAATTCATGACTTGCCATTTATATGTTAGGTAAGGGGATTGAATCAGAGCATATCTGATGATTCACACCTACTTTGTATTCCCTGCATATCCTTAAATCACCCTTAGACTTTTGTATCACAACAACTGGTGAAGCCCAACTGCTACTACTTTGGCTAACTTTCTCCAATATGCTTTGTTCTACCATTTTCTTTAATTTTGCAATAACCAGGGCTAGAATATGAATAGGTATTTTTTGAGATTCAAAATAGGAACGGTGATTATTTTCTTTTAGACAAATACTTGCTTTATATCCTTTAAATAGTCCTATGTCAGGTTCTTCTGACTTTATACAGTTTATTAATTTTGCTGTATCCACTTTTAAAATGTCTATTCCCAAGAGTCCATGGTTTTTTGGGGCATTCTACAACAGTGATGGGAATAATCTCAAAATGTATTTTTGTTTTGAAAATTCCTTCAAAGGAGCCCAGAGTTTTGACGACAGCTCCATCAAATTGTTTTAAATTAAGATTACTTTTTCTTAATTTGGATTTACCCATTTTTCCCAGAAATTCCTTGAGATCAAGGTAACATGTCAACCTGCATGGGAAAACTTATGCCATTCAATTTTACTGTCTCTACTTTTTGCAGGTATTCTTATTGAATATACTTCTGTATTTTCAGTCTGAGAGTTTATATTTTCTACCCTTTCTATTCTCTTTTTCTATCTGCACACTGATTGGAAATCTTTCTTTTACAGTTTAAACATAATGTTCCTAGGGCTGGACATTTGTTTTTGTTTCTTTCATGTTCTTTGTTGCAATACTTGCACTTAATTAGGATTTCAGTTGTGTGGTATGCTTCCACATTGTTTTTAGAATTATTAAATTCATTAATTAATTCTAATTGCTGCAAGAATTCTACACTTGATTCTAAATTAATATCATTTCCTTGTAGCCATTCTAGGATCTTATATTTGCATGTAACATCATATATGCCTTCAATTAGTCTTAGAAGAATCAATTCATCTTCTATAGACATTTCTCTCGAACCCAGTTTTCAAATTCACAATATCTTGATGCTTCTTTCAATCTGTAAATATTGCATTATGGTTTCATTTGGGTTTTGTCTATTTTCCCAAAATTTTGTTCTCTGCAATAACCAGCTTTGTTTTGATCACATGTTTCTTTTTATAATGATTGAAATTTCTTCATATTTTAAGTATTCTAGTAATTTGGAGTACACTATGATGGATATTTTCTTTATAGCTTCACATCCTGCTGAAGCTAAAAATAAATCAGTAATTTCATTTCCCCCTATGGAGGTTTTCTTGTCATTCAGTTTCTTTACCCTAGCCAATGCTGTGAAATATTTAATCCAAGTTTCTACATGCTCTGGTTCATCCAATGCAGTTAGAGATGCTATCAGCGATGCCATATTGTTATAAAGTAGAGTACTCTCTGGAATAGATGTTGTCAGGTCAACAGATGTTAGCTCGATTAAAATTCAATGTGGTGTACTACTTTTATAGCAGTATTTCATTTATATATAATACTACACTGTTGTTGAAGAAAAAAAAGGAAGCATAACCAAAAAGCTGAATTTCGACCAGCTTTTAGGTGTTCATGACAAGTATATCAAACATTATGGTCAATTCAAAAAGCAAAGCTTTTATTAAGGTAGTGGTGGGGGAGTGATTTTTCATTATACAGATTTGAGTAGGGAAAGCAAATTGCAATTGAGTGAAATTCTTCCTTATGGAGATTCAAGTGAATGGTAATAATGACATAGGTATTAATGGCACAAGTAAAAAAATAGGCGAAAATGGCCCAAGTGAACAACAGACTCTTTAAAAAGCTTAAAATGAAATGCCATTAGCTGTTTAAAGTTAAATTTCTTATCAGAGAACAGTTTATTTACTTCTGATTTAGTTTTCCGGTATCCATCAAGTTACTCAAATACACACCACTGATCTCATTGGCTTTTCTACCACAACCCCATGATGGAAATCATTTTAAGTAATAAAAGAAAAGAGAAAATTTTCTTCCAAGGATACGTGTATATACAAAACACATTATAAGATCAACTACTATCAGATGGAGATTTTTTGCTATTTTTCCACTTGTGTCATTTTTACTGGCACCATTATTACCAGCGTCATTATTACGTAAATTCGGAGATTCCACTGGACACTACCATGATAGTTATCACGAAAAACTGAACTGAACAGATTGGTTCATGTTATTTTTACAATTTTACTGGAAAACATGCTAAGAAAAAAAGTCGATTTTTTACAAGATGTATAAACTGTTTACCATCTTTAGTATTTTAAATTACTTTTTTTTTAACGATTTTAGTTTCGTTATAAATGTTTTTAATAAATAGACGTAAAAATATGTAATAATAATAAATAAAAAGTTTTACTTTAAATTTTATTTCCTTTAAAAATCAATTTTGAAAGAGTGGCCACTATATTAGAAACAATGCGGTAGACCGCATACTACCATCTACATATTGTGTTTGTTAAATTGTTTTTCTTTTCTTTTTTTTTCAACTAGAGAGGATACTCGGGGTTTCGGTAACATAATGTATGACCGGCGAGTGGTACGCGGCAACACCTATGCATCATCCACTTTACCAGCTGTGAGTAAAGCACGAGTTATCCCCCTTACAACATTTCTTTGGCTTCCAATCGTATTGAAATAAAACAAAAAAAGAGCTCTTTCACTTTCAGTAACTGGTTATACTTAAGAAAATGCGTCAAAATGTCATTTATAATAATGATTAAATATAAGTTAGTGACACAGAAAATATTGGCGACCGAAGAATATTGGCACAGTATCAATGGCTTAATAGTTATTTGAATTTCTTTGATGACGCAGTGTGCTCAGGTAATTTTAAAATTCTACAACTGTTATGTAAAAATCACGCTTAGGGTGTGTCCTTTACTTCTAATCTATTTAGTTTATTTAACGGTTGGAGAATTTGCAACAAGAAAATAATAAAAGCAATAATATTAAGATGAAAAATAAACCAGTTATTATTAATAATAAAGTCTGCGTTGTAGTGTTGAGGCTAGCTTATTGAAGTGACCTCTCGAATTTATATTTACACAAAATATCACAAAATATGAAATAATAGAAGCAATACAAAAACTGTTTCATAGCAAACAATCTTCATTTAACTTTAAAATACAAAAGCAATCAAATGTGTCATTTTTATATAGTGAGAGTTGTAATAATACAGTAGGAGTTATTTCCCTTTAACTGTTAAATGAATTAGATAAGACTAAGGAAAATATATTTTTTATCTGGACTCCAGGGAAGATTTCAGTTCATGAAATAAAGTTCAGTCTCAATGAAGAAATGTTCAGACTTGTTGAATGCTGAAGAAAATCTCTCTATTAGAAGTTGAATAAATTTCTGTGAATGAATGAAATTAGTTCAGAGATGTTTTGTTTGTATATACATGTGTGCATGTGTGTGTCATAGCGTCTGTCATTAAAGAAAAGATGCAGGCTCTTCACTGACTATATTGTTGTGATGTGAGAAAGGCAAAAAGAAGAAGAATGAAGATTTACTATATATTTATAACCAATGTGGTCACATAATAGGCTCCAGAGAGCATTTCTGATTTTGGTGGAAAAATGGTTTTGAATAATGTGTAAGCATTGTTGCCAACTTGAGCAGGATTTGGTTGATCACAGTGCTGTTACATAGGAAATTTATTAGAATTTTTTTAACCAATAGAATTAGTTATATCACAAATAAAATATCACTAAATTGAAGGTAGGAAACTAAAGTAGCACTGGTTGCATTTGAACCCAGAATTTGAAGTCAAGGCTTCTGCTTTTCTTATCACTACTCTCTGATCTTACCATTTGCTGGAATCGATGCAAGGCTTACTGATGGACATTATATATTTAATGTAAATGTATTGATAATGATTTTGTTATAGGAATACATTGAGAATAAAGGAATTGTTAGTGGTCAGGAATCAGTGTAAGACAGAATATGCATATAATGCAAATACATTGCTAACAGTTTTTGTAAACAATGCATGGGCAACCAGAAAAAATGGATTCTCATTGGTCAGAAATAAATACAAATGGTGATTTTCTAAGCTCAGCTTAGATGTGATACAAGGCCGAAGTTAAGTGGCACCCAGTGAGGAACGAATTCACTAATGAGTTGTAATTGTTCTAGTGAGAAAAGTTTACTAACCATTCTACCACATCAAAGTGCCCCAGAAATAAATACTAATGTAAATTGTAAAATATGCATTGGCAATCAGATAGAAATGAACTCTCTTTGGTTAGAAATAAATACGAATGCTACTGAGAGAATAGAGTTATTATATGTATAATATAAGTGCATTGCTAATGATTTTATTATAGAAATTCACTGAGAAGGTAGGTAGCAAGGTAAGGAGTGACAGTTATTGAGATTTAAAGGAAGACTTATTGGCATAATTGTCCTATTACATGTAATAATATAGATTCATTGAATATAGAAGAGGCTGTGCCAGAGGTAGTTTTGCCCAACACCATAAATTGCTATGGAACCAAAACCTCTATCTGAAAACTTGAGTCATGTTCTTAAATAACCTTGTCAGCTTGAGACTTTCATATGGATGTCATACATGGCACCAAACCTCTTCAGTAACATCTAAACTGTAAATGGAAGAGAAAATCTTGTCTATGTCATTATTTTCTCTTCCATTTACATGTGCTATCCATTTTAGCTGTTGCTGCTGTTGGTAGTCCTTAAGTGATGTGGTTTCTGTTATCTGGTACAGTTCTTTGTTTGTGATTCTGTTAAAAAAGGATGATCTTTGCCAAGACCCTCATGCTTCATGCACTCAAAACCTTTTTTCACTATTGATTTTAAGAAGCGGTTCTATACAGCTAACAGTAATTTTATGTAAAAAATCTCTGTTATAATATGTGTGTGTGTGTTAGTAAATATGAGTGGCTACAATATCCGCATTCTAACCATGAGACCCATGTTCAAATCTGACCAAAGTCAATTTCTTAGGGAGGTACCTTCTTGATAATATCAACCTAGGAAGATGATTCCAGGTGACACCTTTGAAAAGTGACTGAAAATGATACCACAAGTTGACACAAGCCTTGTCAAAGAAATTGGGTAGACAGAATATATATATTCAAAATACATCAATGGTTTTGCTAGCACAAAGTCACAAGTCATCATGACTGAGGGTTTGAAAATACTGATGTTGTTCAAACTGCTTTCTCACAGAAATGCTAAGGTTTGCTCAGCATAGTCGCAATATAAACCACAGATGTGTGCTGTGACTGAGCATTTGTCTGCAACAGGGATTAGTTAGCCATCCTGCCAGATGGTGTTTGTTTAATAATTCCTGACCACTGAGAAATCCTTTTAAATGTTCAATGCATTTCTATAATAAAATCAAAATAATGGTAATAATAACATTAGCCTTTTTCCTATGAGGAAACATTTAGCATTCATTGACTGAGAAGCCAGTACTGCTTTCAGTTGAAATTTATAAAAACTTTCTCTTAAAACACTTTTGTAGCAAAACAGGTTTTTTCAAGCCCAGGAGTTATAATCATTCTTTCCATTATTGATGGACGTTTCCTTCCTAAACTTATCAAGAAGGTACCTCCCTAAGAAATTGACTTTTGTCAGATTTGAACTTGGGTCCCATTGTTAGAATGTGAATGTTCTAACCACACATCCATGCACCCATATTCTCTCTCTCACACACACACACACACACACAAAAACAAACAAACAAACAATAACAGAGATTGTTTACATAAAATTACAGTAATAACTACTCTCAGATAGAGCAAAATTAAAATTCAGCTGACATTAAAAATTATTTTTTTATGTAATAATTCAATTAATTTATCTTATCCCTTGAAGAGCAAAGTTATTTCTGCAAAACTTGGAGACTTTGAAATTTTTATTAATTGATTTAGCTTTGTTATTTTACATTGACCGCTGCTTTATTGCCATTAGTGCCCACTATGCACTATATATATATATATATATATATATATATATATATTGTGTATTTAGAAAGCAATCCCTCTTTCATGCAAGTTTCATTGAAAATGACTGACTAGGTTCTGTGGTTGAGTTTTTTTATATAATTTCTCATGCGTTCATAAAGTATCTAGAGTTATAGGGATGTTTTATTTTCCAAGCATGGTCAGAACATTATGGCTGTGTTCATAGTTGATATTATTGAGCATTGGCTTTTCCTTTTTTATTAACAATGTTTCCATTATTTTTAGCCTTTTTTTACATGCGGATGAGGCTATTATATTTGTATTATCAATGAGTATGTTATGAATAGAGTTTGGTAGGTCTCCATGTGTATTTAAATGAGACCTGATTGGGCTATGGTCAGAAATAATATAAAAAAATTATACAAACACATGAGAAATTATATGAAAAACTCAACCACAGCACCTTTTCAGTTGTTTTTAATGAAACTTGCATATATATATATATATATATATATATATATATATATATATATATATATATATATATATATCAAGAACAATTTGGAAGAAAGATGTATGGCAAAGTGGAAAAAATCTTTTCTTAGTTGAGTGATGGCATATATTTTCTTAGAATTTCTCAAATCTGGTCCCTTCCAAAATATTTTATCCAAACAATCAACATACTTATGATATATTGATAATGCTCTATTAATATATCCCTGTGATACTGATTTACCTGATATTGTAGATAAACTAAACAAAGTTGAATATACAATAGAATTTACATATGAAATGGAAGGAAACAATATTTACCTTACCTAGATATCATGCTATGCCGCATTAACAGTAGCTTAAAACTGTCTATTGAAAATAAACCACTAAAAATGATCTAATAAATTTTCATTTGCAACAACAAAATAAAATATGGAACAATCATCAGATTCTACTTAAGAGCACTCAGAATTTGCAGCCCTCAATATTTACATGAAGAGGAGAAATAAATTGAAAAAACTTTCAAGCTTTTTCAATACTCTAACTATTTTACATTTAATGTGAAACAAAAGCTTATAAAATATTCTCAAATAGAAAAACGACCTCTTGACAAACCCAATGAATCAAAAAATATATTATCCTACCAACTAACTATATCACAGCTACAATTGAAAAGAATTTATCTAAACTCAACATAAAATTTGTTACAACTACATATAAAACAACAAAAGATTTATTCAATACAGAACAGTAAGCTAAAATTTGAAGGCGGAATTTACTCTATCATATGTAAGAATTGTCACAAATATACATAGGAGAAACCTCAAGGAATTTAAATAAAAGATTATATGAATATAAAAGGGACATTTTACAGAACAAGCATTAAATGCATTAGTTGTTCACCATAATGAGACTGACCATGATTTTGACATAAAAAATGCTACTGCAGTGAAAGGAGAAAACAATTCATTAAGACAAAAATGTTTAAAGAGTGCTTTGATTACTTGATCATCCACAGTAAATTTATGCCCAGACTCTTACAACATTTCACCATTCCTGGCATATATTCTATTATCACAGTGTGGGATATCTAATAATAACAAAAGTGATGGAAACAAAAAGAATCTAAATCAAATCAGCTAGATTATATACCCAAAACACATAAAAAAAAAAGAAATGTAATTTAAAATTTAGAATTCTCAGCATTTCTTGTTTGTGTTCATATGTAGTCACACCAATGTAAACAAATTTAGTTCAATGTAGTCCAAATCCACGTTGTCATACATCTTTCCCTCATATAAATATTTATATATAAAATATATGTATGTATCTCTATATATATGTGTATATATGTGTATATATATGTATATACAGTGTCTATTTGAGTCTGTTCATGTATGGCTATTTCGATTATTTATTCATTTACTTTCTCAGCTTTTTCATATCTCTCTTGGATTGTTCCTATATGTGTATATATCTGATTTCCCATGATCTAGCGTGCTCAGCCAGACCCCGTGGAAATTCAGCGCCAACAGGAATCCAAAAGGCGAGCAATAGCTCGACGACGTGCCAAGGAACATTTCCAGTCCTTAACTCCAGAACCTGTAGCTGGCCGGAAGCACATCGATGTGCAGACTGAATTCTACTTAGAAGAGCTTGCAGATCGTATTGAAGAAGCTGATGTGGATTGTCAGACAGATGGTTTCCTCGATCGACCACCATCGCCTTTATTTGTGCCAGCTAAATCTGGTGCTGATGCATCCACCCAGATTTTGGATGGAGAGGTAAGTCTCAAACCAGCCGTTCTTAGCTATGAAGAAGAAAGTACTCGGGCCTGCTGATAAGGCCTAGTGGCAAGCAATTATAATATTAACAACATTGGCAAATATATTTTTAAGAGTTTTAAAATAGAGGTATCACCCTCTCACAGGAAACTTATACTTAGAATCAGAAAAAAACAGTTAAAATTTATAGGGCATAATGAGAAAAGAGGGCTTAGAAAATTTGACACTCACAGGACATATTAAAGCAAGCAGGACAGAGGAAAGCAGCAAATAACCTCCCTAACAAGCTTGTGTAAATGGTTGTCAGAACAGGGATTAGGTGAGATACAAACATTGCCAATAGCTACAAATGATAGGAAGTTGTGGAGAGCCATGATCGTCTATGTTGTGAAGGGATATGGCACATAGAAGAAACTACCTTCTTTTCAGAAACATCTAGTATTAAAAATCATTGTAAAAACATGTGATTTATATTGATCTGAAGTAGAAGTTTGTTGGAGTAAAGAAACAAATTAGACACTGGTTTGGAGAAATGACCAAAGATTTATTTTCATTTAAAGATATGACAATGTCTCTGGTAAGTTGTATAGTGTAGTGTTTGAATGTACGGTGTATGAGGTTTGAAATGAGAGTGTGAAAAAGTAGTATGCTTAAACTGGCTGACTGCTTGTTGACTATTAGTTTGGGCTTGTCACGTCGATAGTAGAGTTCATTCTCTTTCTGTGTTTACAGAAGGTTGTTTTCACAGCCTAATAGTCGGATGGGTAGTCAGCCATGCTCCTGTGTAGCCTCTATGGTTAGCATGTGTGTATGAAGTCTTTCTCTCTCTCTGCTCTTTGCTCCCTGTCTTCTGTCCAGCTTCTCTTATAGCCTATATAAAGGAAACACACAGATGTAGTTGTAGACATTTGTAGCAAGTGAGAGTCACATCGATAATGGCCAGCACTCTGGTATATTTGTGTTTGTTTTAAAATTTGTTTTGAGTAGAGTAGCTAGATAAAAATTGGTTTGTATTTAGAGATATATGTTTTATAATTGTATAAATTTGATTTTAATTTGTTATCTCTATTTATAAATTGTGTTTTTCTGCTACAATATTATAGCAGATTCTGTTTAACAGGGTCATCTGGGTCAAGTCATAAAAACCCCCGCAAAAATAATATGTCTATTCAATAATATAAAGCATAATGTAATTTTATATATTAGTCATGCATCCTCATCTCCTCTGTTCACTCTACAAAAGGGGTTACATACCAAGTAAATATTTACAGACTCAATTACAAATAGGTACCTCCAAAGAAAAGTGATACCTAAGTTTTAAAATGCATTTTTTAAAATGAAAAATCTCTTGAAGGTTTTATTTTGGTTTTAATTTTGAGGTAATAGATTAAATTTAATGTTTCCAATACTTTGCTCTATTTCAAATTGATTGTGTTGTGATGATATAACACAACTTCCCCATTCATGAGAATGGACGGACTGGTTGCCGATTAAGTACGACCACAGCGGACAGTGAAAGAGGTCTTTGTTTGTTAACACCTATTGAGGTTAGCATACTCCCGACTCTGTCTCTGTATTTTGACATACCTACATCCGATTATAAAATTATTATTGAAAAACCAACACTCGGGTTTACTTTGTTTATTATATCTTGCACGAGATATAACAGATTGGAATGAGTTTTTCTTTATTATCTGTTAAAAAAATGCTAAAATCGTCCATATTGACAAATCTGTCAACACAGCAATCCTTTTTATTAAAAAGTTTTCAAAAATAAAATATACTTTCCTGAAACTTTATTTGTGGAAGACTAGCTGATCTAAAGTTTTATTAAATTGATTTGAAGCAAATATTACCTACTATTAGTTTAAAATATCACAGAAAAGCATTATTAATACAGATGTTGGTGTTTTGTATGAGGTGTTGACAACTTTGTTGCTAGACTTATGTTCAGGAATTTCTTCTAAGACGGACATAACTGTAACAATTATTTGATGAATATAATGTGAACACCTTTTTTATATAATTTTTTTAACTACCCAGTAATTTTAAAAATTTAAGAAAATATTCTCAGCAATCTAATATTTTATTGAATTTTAGATACTTTGACTTTTTACAAAGATGCTGTTTGAGGAAATGTTAGAAAATTACCAATAAATTTAAACTTTATTATAGTTACTACTGTTATTTTCTGATCATGTCACATTTGAATTCTATATTTACAAAAATCAATGTGTTTATACATTCATAAGATAAATTCAAAATTCTTTTTAAAATATTCAGTGTTTTTGATTTTTGGTAAGCTTTACCCTTTATGATTATTAAATATAATTTTTATTTAATAACAATATCATTTAACTGTTACAAATTAATGCAGAATTTTAAAAGATTTAAAACTTTATAAATTGTTTTTTTTTTAAGCTTTTCACCTCAAACACAGGGGGAGTGCCACTAGCACACAGGGTTACAGAGAGTGGGAGTAAGAGTAAAAAGGCATGAAAGAGGAAGGAATGAAGTGAAGGATGGTGAATAGATCAAGGCATCTGGAGAGGTCGATTGACATTGCATTTGAATAGTTGGAGATTATAGCTATCAGGGAAGCAAGTAAGAGGAAGCGAGTTCCACAGATGGGAAGTGCCAGACATGAAGCTAGTGGAGTAGAAGAGATAGCTACATTTAACTGTTTTGACAGTGAAAGGGAGGGTGGGATTGAGATGCGTTTAAATTCATGCAGTTTGGGAACTAGTGAAAATAGCTTGTCAGAGCAGTTACCATGAAATATTTGTAGAAAAGACAGAAGGAGGTGATGGCACATCTGTGAGAGAGCGACTGTAAATGAGATCCAGATCAGAGCCAACCACACTGCATGTCCGTCTCTGGATATTGTTGAGGACCTAAGATGAACAGCGGGTGCTCCAGACCATATATGACAGCAGTATTCTATGCAAAGGCAAATGGTTGATTTATAGATTTGAAGGATAGACTCAGGCAAGAAAAACATTCTGGTGTGACATAGAGAACCAACTTTCCTTGTGGTAGATGAAGCTATTGATTCAATGTAATTGTTCCATCTTAGGTCAGCAGACAGTGTGAGACCAAGCAGTTGCAAAGAGATGCTCTCATGGAGTTGAGCATCAGACATTCTAATAGGAAGCAGAGAGAGTTCTCTCTGGTGGGTAATAGAAAGCAGTTTTGTTTTTGAGGCATTAAAGTTAACCAGCCATTTCCTGCCCCAGTCAACAACCGATTGGAGGTCCTTTTTGAGACCAATGGCCAGGTTAGTTTTGTCAGCGATACCAAATTAGCTATTTAGGCAGGAGTAAATAGTAGTGTTGTCTGCATAGATGCCTACTTGAGAACTGATGACATGGGGAAGATCGTTAATGAAGATAAGGAACAGTGTAGGACCCAGGGTAGAGCCTTGAGGAACACCTGCATTTGTGAAAAAGGAACTGGAGGAGAATCCATTAAAGACGACCTTCATTAAGCAGTTTGACAGGAATGATTGTATTAAGTTAAATAATCATCCCGAAATACTGTATCCCTGAAGATTATGAAGGAGGCTGGCAAGCCAAACCCAATCAAATGCTTTAGAGATATCTAGAGCCATGGCACAAGTTTCTTCGTTATTGTGAAGTGCTTGGTAAACAAATTCAGTTATGGCATATCAGCTGTAGATTGGGCAAAGTGGAAACCATATTGCTTGTCAGAGAGCAGATCATGGGATGTAAGGTTCTTAACCACTTTGGTGTTGATTAAGGCTTCAAAGATTTTGCTGAAGAATGGTAGGAGACTGATAGAATGGTAGTTAGATGGTTCAGAAGGGTCGACAGAGTTCTTAAAGACAGGTACAACAGATGAAGACTTCCAACAGGATGGAAAGCAGGAGTCATTGTGGCAGTAGTTGGATAGTTTGAATAGGATAGGAGCCAGTTCAGGCCAATGATAGGATAGGAGCACATTTGTTCAGGACAATATCTGGTATCCCGTCCCCACTGCTAGCTTTATGGGAGTCTAATTTAGAGTTGATGCCCAATACCAACGATGGGGTTATATGCAACTCCCTCAACAGAGCCTCAGTTATAGGGGGAAATTGGGTGTGGGTACACCAGATGAGTCAAGCGTTGAATTGGATGAGAATTTATGAACAAAGCACTCAGCCTTATCAACCGAGGAAGTCAGGACTTCAAATTGGTTGTTCTAATTAAAATTTTAAAAAAATGTAAACAAGTCTTGTAAAAATTCATTATTCATCAAAAATTTTTTTAAGACAATAGTGCCCATTTGCACATAAAAGCAATTAAAAACTTTTATAATTAAATAATGTCTTAGTTTTTGTTGTGTCGGAAACCTACCACCCCTCTTGAAGATGAACTTGTCTGCATCTGTGAACAAAGACTTTAAATAGTGGCATGTCAGTTGACATGGGGAAGACAGATAGACAGAGAAGTTCTTAGCTGAGCTAGTTATTGACTACCCAGGCGATTTCTGTACCTTTTTACCAACCTATTAGAACCCTTTTTATTGTTACGTGTTATTTGGCGTTTGTCTTTACTAACCCCAAATCAACATCATAACAGTCTTATTGTTTTTTATTTTATGATTCAGAAAAACTTTTTTATAACTATGGATCCTGTTTGACCAAAAAAAATCAATGATTTAAATTCTCCAAGGGCTAGAACAATTTAAATCATTATTTTTTTTAAGTGCTATTAAAAAGATTTTCTTGAAATTTCATAAATTTAAACAAGAGGAGGTTAGAAGATGCAAGAAAAAAGATATTTTTACAAAGATTTTTTTTTGAAAAAGAAACATTTAAAAAATAATTTTGTTCATTTGGGAATAAGTCCAGAAAGTTTCATCAAAATCTGACAATTATTTGATGTTTGTGAGAATTTTCAAATCAGTGTGTTTTGCATCACAAAAAGACACTAAAATTTATCATACTAATTAATGGTCACCTGCTGAAACAAAAAACAAAATTTTTAACTAAAATTTCAAAGCTTCTAGAAAGGATTAAAAAACTATAATAATTAAAAACTGCCTTGGTCTTTCCT